TATTTCTTTTCCTTATCATCTCCTTACCTCCTATCCCTATCTATTTATATATATTATATTTTCTCAATTTCTTACATTAAAATCATCTCTTTCCATATTAATATTAGTATTTAATTAATTATTCATCTCTTTCCATATTAATATTAGTATTTAATTAATTATTAATAATTTTCTATATTAATATTAATAATTTATTTGTTCCTATTATTTTATCTCTCTTATTTTTCTTTTTATGTTATTCTTTCTTAGTTAGTTATTTCATCTGATTAATTTTTGTTGAAATTTCATCTTTTTGCTTCTCCCTTAACATTTTATATCATTAAATTTTTTTCTCTATCTTGCATATTATTTTTTCTTTCACTATCTTTATAAGTTAAATATACTATTTTAGTCAAACAATTTAAATAGTTTAATGATAACATCTTTTAAATGGAAGTAAGAGGTTTTGATTTTGTTCGAGTTGTATGACATGCAGGTAAAAAGAGTTAAGGAATAAAAGAAAGTTGCTTTTCATGCTGCAATCCAAGATCATATATATATATATATTACTTTAGAATAATATTTACTGATCACAAAAAAAAAATTAATACCTAAAAAAATTAATTTGAAAGGTAGGTATGGCTATGAGTTAAACCATAAAATAGCGTTTTGAGCCACGTCAGTGTTGTTTGAATTCACCGACGTGGCGTGCCGGGGATAGTAACCTTTGTAATGAAGGAATGGAGAATGGTGATCATTTATTTTTCCATTGCAGAATGGCTCACCAATTGTGGAATAGTTGCTGCCAATGGTGGGTGATTAGTATGACAGTCGCTACTAATTGTTGGGAAGCATCTGCGCGGCATGTGGTTTGCAGCGGTATGGACAATTTTGGAATACCAGAAATGAAAAGGTATTCAGGAATGGATCAGTTGATATTATTAGAATGCTGGATACTGTGCAAGCCATGACTCTTCAATGGATAAGCAACTGAGGAAACATGGGGAAAAGTTTTCATGTTTGACTGGCTTTTGGACCCCGTGGCTTGCTGTGCAAATAGATAAGAAGACCATTGGAACGTGCATGCCTATGCGGACCCAGGGTAAAGGATTGTTGGACTTAACGCA